GAGCATTTGTGTTGGCCTTGGTTTGGCCTTTTAGCTACTGAAATCCAGCAGATTTTCAGTGGCTAACATGTGTTTTTTAGCATTAAAATCAAAGAGGGGTGACCCTCTCACCCCTTGTTTTGTTTACTAGCTTTCTTGGCCTTACAAAGGAGCCCCTACTTGCATGTTGTGAAGTCACATCTCAGGCCCTATTTTGTGAGTTTTAGGGTTTTCCTTAGCTCTCTCCGGAGCCCTTTTGGCCATATTTTGTGTCCCTCATGCATGTGTGGAACAATCCTCTTCAAGGCCTTTCAAAGGGGCCTTTCATTGCATGCTTCATTGACCCATTTCAGGGCCTTTTTGGTGAGTTTTAGGACCCTCATAACTAATTTCTAGAGGTGGTTTTGCCATGTTGCATGTCTATCTTGTATGTGTTGAACAACCCCTTGCATGACCTTCTAAAGGAGCACATCATTCTTGCATGCATTGACTGAGTTTCAGTGGGTTTTTGGGCATTATTTAGCATGGCATACTTCTATTTTTGGTTGGTTTGGTGAGCTCTCATGTGCTTCATATAGCTGTAGTGCAAATCATGGTTCACTAGCTTACTTCGTATGCTTTGTTGACCCTTGATTTTAGCTCTTTTTGGCCTTGCCTTAAACTGATTTTATGCATATTTTGGACTACCCTAGCTCTGTTTTTGGGTCTTATGGTCGAATGATGTTTTTTTTGCATGCTTGTGGTTCAATACAGTTGCTTAGCTTTGAATTTCGGGGTCCATTACATGCATATACTGAGGTATTTCCTTGTTTTGGAGCCATTATACATCATATTTCAGAGCTTGTTTGAATGTCATATTGTCATGTTTTGTACTCTTTAAATGCGTTTGAGAGTCAGGCTTGTATGCCCCGTTTACCGACCATTGAATAAGCTCCATTTCGTTGCATTTCGAGGGATCATTTTAGGCCATTTCCCCACAGTTTCAGACCTTCCTAGGGTCTGTTTGGGGTTGATTTTGCCATTAGTGCATTGTTTTGGGTACCTCTAGAGTAACGCACTTCACTAGTTTCGGTACCCGGGCCCCCTAGCTTGCATTTTGTGCCATGTTTGCATGTTTCGGGACCATTTTGTATCATGTTTCAGAGCTGGAATTTGTGTGTTTGTATGCCATATTTCATCCTCTGCTATGCTTAGTTAGAGTTGCATGTTATGCCTTAAGATCGATACTTTGCATCCGTGCATGTCTGCATGTGTTTCGGTTGTTTTATTTCCATCATATGGCCACTGACGTGAGTGTGGCTGAGGTCCACTCATGTTGGTGTAAGTCCATTGTGCATTGTGTATGCCATTTCATTCCATAGCATTGCGTATGTTAGGTTGTATGTTAGAGCATTGTGTATGCCATGTTACATCACGTGCATTGTGTATGCCATCTTAGTCCATAGCATTGCGTATGCTAGGTTACATGTTAGTCGCATTGTGTATGCCATCTCATTTGCATTGTGTTTAGGATAGGAATTAGCCCAAGCACGGGAAACGAGGAACGTTCCGTACTCCAAGTGACGAAACGCGTCTCAATTCCCGGTCGCCGACACTCCGGATTAACCATGATGGAGTCTAGGCCTTGTTGTGTTTATATGTGCATTCATTTCACATCGAGTCGTGCAATTCGACTCCTCGGCCATCGTGCATCGAGATGCATGATTGGTGGCACGAGGATCGAGGTGTGCATACATATGTGAAAATACTTTGTCATGCTCATTTCTTGCTCTCTGTTGCAGCAAATAAGAAATCAACAACTTTCAAAAGCCTTGCACAGCATTTCGGGATTAATTGTAAACAGAGGCGAATCAGGGCATCGCAACGGATTTCTGCGCAAGGCAACTCGAGCATGCATCTTTCATCATTCGGAATAGAGCTGAGGCGGTCCATGAATTTGCGTACTAGTTTATTTGTTTTCCTAGTTAATTTGTTAATTAATTAGGGTTTTGTAATATTTAATCATTCATTCGGACTGTAATTATTTATTCGGACTGTATTATTTATTCGGACCCTCCGAGTGAGGGCAATGTTGTAATAAGTGTGCGTGTGTGTGATGCATGTCTTCCAGCCCCACGTCTTTCTCCCTTTTATTTACCAGCTTATGATGGTTAGATTAGGGCATGTTTCAATTAGCATACTTATGCTCGCATGTTTGCATTCATTTATCTGTCTTGCATGCACCGGGCTCGGCGCATCATACTAACTGCATTGTATTTCAATTCCGAATTGAATACGTGTTAGTTGTAGCATTTCACATGCCATTGTAGAATAGCCGAGCCTATTTTAGTAGCATTTTGCATGTGTTGCATTAGGCATTCCAGCATAGTTAGGATTCATGCATGATTTCTAATCAGCTTCTGTTTTGGCTTGGAGTACTCGGTAAGTTTTATACTTTAGCACCCTTGCATGCGTGTGAGTGACTGCCATGATAGCATGCTTACCATGAGGTTATTTGCTTATGTGATATACCTGCCTGAGTGCTTGCGGGTGAAGGTTGGGTTATCTGAATTGGAATAATGCATTGACTGTGAGTTTTAAGCCCACTAGATAGTGGCAAAACCATGTTTTCTAAGCCCACCCGAGGGTGGTAAAATCTACATTTTAAGTCTACTTGCGAGTAGCAAATTGCTTTCAAAAACAAACATGAAATGTTTTGTTCCAATTCAGGCGATCCGGTCTATACTTGTATGTTGTGCACGCCACGTAGCAATTCTAGGCTAATAAACCGGAATAAGAGCACATAATGTTTTCAAAACTCGATATCATGGTTAGTAAAGGCCGATCTTTGATTGGGCGAGCAGGGGTGCTCACGAAGTGACCTTCCCCAATCATACCCAAGTTCCCGAGCCGAGGCAACTTTGGTGATGACAGACACGTGGCCTTAGGCAAATGAGTCAGGATTTCCTAAATTTTCCAAAATAAAATATTTAGGTGGCGACTCTGTATCTGGCAAAGCAGTCCATGTTTGGCACTTCTTTCAAGAAAAATCTGTTTTCAAAAACAATTTGCCGGATTTGGACTCTTTGATTATTCATCGGTCTTGCATTGCACTCTGCGAGATTAGATATAGGACCGTGACATTGAGTCCGAACTGTAGTGAGCCCCAAATGAACAAAACGGGATTTCTCTCCCGGGATGTTCAGGGACGTCTACAATATCAATTTTTGAGAGATATTTATTGGAAGCTTTCTTTGAAAGAAAAAATACCATTTCATCTTGTAAAAGTGTTGCAAACACTGTGTTCTTGAAATCTTAAGAATGATTATGAATCACCTAAGATTTGCAAGGGTTTGGGCTTGTAAAGTCTATGTAAAATCTGTGGAGGATTGCTCCATTTGTAAAGAGGTTGCTAGCACGCCAGTAAAGCTAGAAGATAGTGAAAAATCTCATGTGAAGCTTTAGGAGTAGATGTAGGCTTGGTTGAAACCGAACCACTATCAATCTGTTTGTCTCCTCTTCCCTAATCTCTTTACTTTCCTACTACTACTATAGCTATCTAATATTTATGTGTTAATCATTTGATTTACCCTGTATAATAGTTATACTTCATTGTTATTTTGCTTTATCATTTACTGTTAAGTTCATCATTGTGTTTGTTAATAATTTGTTGTACTAGTAGTTAATTTTATTGGGGTATTATTAATTTTAATTTGTAGAAACCTAATTCACCCCCCCTTCTTAGGTTACTTTTTGGGTAACATCTTCAATTAACTTTTAACTTTATTCCTGAAGAATAGGTTTTTTAATTCTATTACTTTATGTTTGTCATATACTGTAGGCATTTGTATTGTACGATTTTATGCTTTTATATTCTATTTCTATTTTGTGTGATTTGTTTGAGGATTAGGGATTATTTATTATTTTAGTTTATGTTGGTTACAAGCATGACTATATCTTTGTTTAGGGTCGTACGTTGTGGGTTATGGTCCCAAAATGTATTGATGAAAGTTTTTTCTACTTTAGGAGTGAATGCTGAAAATGTCAGACAAATTCATAACTGTTCAAATGCAACATGGGGGCCATTTTGTCTTTCATCAATATGTTGTTTATGAGGGTGGTAGGGTGAATGAAATAATTAACTGTGACCCTGACAAAATGTTCATATTTGAGTTAAGAGACCTTTATTATGACCTGGTTGGTGGAAAAGGAGCAACATAGATATGTACTATACATGGCCTGGTTATAGCTTAGATGTTGGGTTAAAAACAATTTACAGCGATGCTGATGTGATTAAAATGCTTGAGGCTTATAAGGGTTTGGATTATGAAGTAGTTTATGTAAAGAAGTGTGTAGATCTTATTATAGTTTTGTCATTCAATGGTGAGTTGTTGTCAGATCCCAATGGTGTAGAACAAAGTGGTAATGCCATAGGTGGTGGTGACACAGAACATGGTGGTAATGCCATATGTGGTGGTGACACAGACATTATTGATATAAACTTGTCTGAGGTAGCTAAGGGTGAGGATATGGGTAAGAAATATGCGGGTAGTGAGAAATCAAGTCAGAATCAGGCTAAGGAGAGTCAAATAGGAAGGGAGCATGAGGGTAATGATACACAACATGAGGAGGGGTTGTAGCATACTACTGAGACTAAGTCTGTAGAAGGTAATGAGGCTGATGAGAGTGACAGTGCACAGAGTGAGACTGAATTTTTAGCTGATGAAGAGAGAATTGATAGTGATGATTCTGAGGACTTGGACTATATAGTTAGTGAAGAATATAGTGATACTGAAACTTCTGAGGATAGTGCAGAGGAAAGTGATGACAAAAGTTGGTTGTATGAAAACTTAGAGGGTCCAAATGATAACATTTTTTATGAAACCTCACACAGAAGAACTGAAGGACCACCACCTAAAGTCAATTTGCTAGATGATGTTGGTTGGTATTTAGATCTTGATGATGATGATGAATTGATTAGTCTGAAAGGGTCATCAAATGAGGTAGATGATGTTGGATACCCAAAATACAAATAAGGGATGATGAAGGATCCCATACTTGTAGTTGGAATGAAATTTCCCAATCCCCAAGTTTTCAAAGAGTATTTGAGGGAGTTTAATGTGGTGCATGGTTATGATATAAGGTACATCAGAAATGAGAGTGCTAGAATCATTGTTGTTTGTAGGCATGGCTGTACTTGGAGGATACATGCCTCTCCATTTGGGGGAACTACAACCTTTCAGATCAAAACTCTAGAGGGGAAACACACATGTGAGAGGCATTACAACAACAAACAAGCCAACTCTAAGTACTTGGGGAAGAACTTTGTAGATGAAGTGAGAGATGACCCCTCTATTAACATAGCCTCTTTCAAGAAAAAAGTAAGAAGAGAGATAATGGTGGATGCAAGTAGGTTTCAAATATACAGGGCAAAGAGAAAGACAATGAAGATAATTGCAAGGGATTTGGCAGAGCAATATCACAGGATTAGGGGTTATGAAGCTACAGTTATTAGCAAAAATCCAACCTCACACATTTCAATAACAACTAATCCTGAAAAGACAGAGCCTACATTTGAAATAATGTATTTTAGACTTGATGCACAAAAAGATGGATTTCTAACAGGGTGTAGACCAATAATAGGACTAGATGGTTGTCATTTGAAAGGGATTTTTGGAGGACAACTACTTAGTCTATTGGGAGAGATGGACATGATAACATGTATCCTATTGCAGTGGCTTTGGTTGAGATAGAATGTAAAGCCTCTTATTCTTGGTTTCTTGAGGAATTGATGAGTGATATTGAGAGTGTTGAGGAGATGGGGTGGACATTTATATCAGATAGAAGAAAGGGGTTGGTTAAAACATTTGCAGAGTTATACCCTACTGCAGATCACATATACTGCCTAAGACATATGTATAGTAACTTCAAGACAAAATACAGTGGTTGCGTGTTGAAAGACCTGTTTTGGAAAGCTGCATCAACTGGAAATGTGCATGAATTCAATTATTGGATGAAGAAGATTGAAAAAGCTGATCCTAAGACTGGAAATAGGAAGACAGCTGTAGAGTAGTTGAGGGAGACTGACCCTACTCTGTGAGCAAGGTCACATTTTTCTCCAAGGAGCAAGTGTGACATCCTTGTGAACAATTTGAATGAGTCATTCAATTCTTACATTCTAGAAGCTAGAGAGCTACCAATAATCTCTATGTTTGAATGGGTCAGAAGAAAATTGATGTAAAGGATTCAAATTAAAAAAGATGGAATGGCAAAATATAGTGGTCAGATTTGTCCTAATATTCATGACAAACTTGAGAAGTTGAAGATGGAATCAAGGAAATGCTTTGCAATCTAGTGTGGACAATTGGAATTTGAGGTTGATCATTTTCAAATGAGGTACATAGTGGACCTAAGTACTAGGACATACAGTTGCAAGAGATGGGATTTGTCTGGTTTGCCTTGTGGTCATGCCATCAGTGCCATTCAAATCAATCATGAGCAGCCAAAAGCCTATGTGCATGAGTATTACAACAAATCTAGGTACTTGGATACTTATGCATTCATAATACACCCAGTTCCAGACATGCATGAGTATGAGGAAGGTGGCCAAAAATTAAATCCACCAGAAGCAAAGAAGTTAGCAGGCAGACCAAAGAAGTTAAGAAACAGACAAGCAAATGAGCCAAGAAATCCACATAAGGCATCAAGGAAGAACATCAATGTGACATGTGCTAAGTGTCTGCGGAAGGGGCACAATCAGAGGTTATGCAAGAACAAATTGCATCCTAAGTCCAAAACAGTGAAGGTTAGTGTATACTTATGCATTCATTTATTGTACACATGTTGTTATTTGTTTGTTGTATATTTAATTTATTGTATACTTAATTTGTTTGTTGTAGCAGAGATCTACTAGTGGGCAATCATCTCAACCTGCATCAACTCCTATTCCTACTCAAACAACAAACATCCCATCAAATGAGGTAACCAACTTTTAATGTTGACTTGTAATTTCAAGTAGGAAACTAACATTAGTTTGCCCAATTTGTTCCTAATTGGAAATTTTTTTGCCTCAGATGTACAGTAAGAGCCAAACTAGAAGAGGAGGCCAAGCAGCATCTCAACCACCAATGAGTACTGCTTCTATTGGATTGAAGAGGAGGATTACTAGGTCATCCACTCAGGTAACTCACTTGTTTATATAACCAACTTTTTTATTTTGTAACTTTTCAGTTTGTTAATTGAAAATATTGTTGCAGCCCACAAAACTACCAACCCATTGTGGAAAGGTATCAAGTGGTCTTAGCTAAAGACTTAAAATCACAGTTGGTGGGAGGGGTAGGGGACCAATTAATGCATCTATATCTGCAGTCAATGTTAAAAGAACTGGAGTGAATGCTAATGTCAGAGGGCATGCTGCTTCAATAACTTCTGTACTACAGACAATCAAAGCAAGGAGACAAGACAAATAACTAGCAACTGGGTCAAAGTAAACTTTAGGATTACTTGTTATTATTTATGTTTTTGTAATGAAACAATACTGTGAGATGTGTTGTGTTTGTATTTAAGTTAAGGAAGGATAGACACACACTTAGAGTTATGGTTTTTGTAGTCAAATGCAACATACTTCTGTAAATAGATTGGTATTAAATAGCATTGTCAATCTCAGTTTTTCTTGTCATTTTTGTTCCATTCCTTCAAGTGCATTGATTTGGAATGAGGCCAGTTGTTTTGCAAATCAACTCAGCAGGGTTACCATTGCTTAAAGTATACGGTCAATTTGTTTGTGTTGGAATCATTTTAATGTTGGTTGTATATTTTGCATTGGAATGCAGTAAAAAAAGTTCAAAATTTGTTGATTTTTTTCCAATTAAACTCAGTAGGGTTTGTGTTGGAATAACTTTTAATGCATTTTCATGTTGCAGTAAAAAAGAACATACAAAAATCACAAATTTCATAAACATAATTTCATTACTTGCAATCATACATCAAGTACATAAAGCACCTTACAAATTCTTAAAAATTCATTTCATACTAAACATTAACATGGCGGAAATGAAACATATAAGCAAAACCACCATAGATGTCTTCATTATCATGTTCAGTGCCTCCATCTTCATCTCCAGCTTCATTAGTCTTCCATTAAACTGCACACCTTCTTCAACTCTTGGCTTCTCATCATCAATCTCATCTCTTCCATAGATGGGAGCATATCCAACTGGGTTGCACCAAGCCCAGAAATCAAAACCCCCCAAACCCGTATTTTCACAAATATAGTACAACCTACCTTTTGAAGGCTTCTCGGACTCCACGATTCTAATGGCTGCTTTTCTTCCACAACGACATTTCTTGCTCATGAATCTCAACATTTGTCCTTCTCCACCTCCAATGCTTGAAGATGACAGTTTTGTTGGGTATACTAGCCTGCAACTCAACATACAAAGCAAGAAGGCAATATAAAAAGCAATCTTCTTGGGTAAGCTTTCATGTTTAATCCTAGGGGCATTTTGGTCTTTTCATTGTGAGGGAGCATCATCAGTTCATGCCCAATTGCACCACACTCACGTGTACTGCATAACCGGTTAGAATAGATGAAAAAGCTAATTGTGCACATTACCCCATCAACCACAGGGGGGTTATGTAGTGATATTCGAAAGTTAGGGGGTAATCTGCACATAGCCTAAACCATAGGGGGTAAAGTGAAGTTTGTCCTAAAATTTTTCTTTGGTGTAAAAAATCATCTCCAACTTTTTTATGTCAAAACACTAACTCTATTTTCCACCAAAAATCTCTCAAAAACTCTTATTCTAAGTTGGATAAGAAAGGCCCTTTTTATACTTGTAGGGAATGGGTCTTAGCCATGAAAGCTACTATAAAACCTAACATCAAGGGCCATCAACTCTAGCCACTAGGGCTAAAGTTACAAAGGTGCAAAACTCCCATGTGTATATTATGATCATCAAATCAAAAGATGAGAGTTACAAATGTTGAATAAATAAATATATATATATATATATATATAAAATTCTATTTGAATAATTTAACTAGATGGGTCGCAAAATGGATACGGATGTTGGGTCACAACCTAATCCAAACCCAGTCTAAAACATATACACAAGACAAGCCAGTCCAACATCGCACAATCTAACCCATACCCAAGACTAAGTCCAACACATGCACATACACAAGCCTAGGCCAGTCCAGACCAAAACTAAAACTAAGTCCAAGTCCAAGCCAAGGCTCAAGCCCAACTTCTATTGATGCCCACTTTATAAAACAATTCTCATTCACTTCATGAGACAATGCTCATTCACAACTCAATGGTTTCGGCCAATCATTTTTATATTATAATATTCTCACTTGAGAGAATACAAAACCATTCACAATTCTCATTCACGCAAGTTATTTTATATTAATTAGTTGTTATTGCACGAGTTATTTGATTAAGTTGCTAGAAGTTTACAAGAATAAAATAAAAATTTTATTATGTAAAATTCTTACTATTTTATTTGATTTGTTTGATTGTTTTCTTTTGTAACTAACTTTTTTTACAGGTTTACTTCAGCGAGAAAATATGATAAATAATACGAATAAATAAAATAAATTGGAATTAGTAAATTGGACTACTAATTTTTTATTTGAACAGGATTACCTTTGCGTGGAATAAGGAATAATATTGGGCCTTCAGAATTTTAGTAAACTTATTTATTCACTTTATAGTTAGTTTGATTTCAGATTTATTCTATATGTTGTTTTGAAAATGTGGTGATAATTTCGTTTTAATTTGATTAATTATAATCTGGGGAAAACAAAGAGCCGGATTTTGAGAATCTTAAGAGATTTGGCTAATCGAGAGGTTTTCGACGGTATAAAATATCTTCAAACAGGTTTGTTTTGGGAGAAAATTTAGTAAAACAGTTTCAATTTTTTTTCCCCTTCTATATAATAGCCTTATTTCTGAGTTCACTTATGATTATGTTGTATTATAAGGTGGATGGATCCTAAGAGAGAATTGGTGCATGGTGGAATAATTTTACATTATAATTCTAATACTTGTTTGTTTTTCAGTTGTGAGTTTTTCCATGTCTTGATGTGTATAATCAAGTGAATTACTCCAAACATTATTGTGTATTGTTGGAGTTTAACTTTATTGTTTGTAAGATTATTTGCTCATAGTTAGATGGTTGGAATGTCAATATTATGACCATAATAGTCTTATATATGTAGTTATTTCATAGCTATGAAGCTCATGACATTCTTGTAACTACAACGCATCTATAGCCTTTGAATTACACATTGTGGGTTATAACTGAAATTACTTGTGTAACATTCACTTTATTGGTTCATTAACTCATCTTCTATCCAAGTATATATATGAACAGTGACCATGGAGATTTAGTGACAATGAGGATAGAGTTTTGTAATGCATTTTATACAAAGAAAAGCATTACAAGTGGAGAAGTGTGGTTTTGGCTAAACAGATAATTTCGGATGCAACCATGAGCTCCGTTTTGCAGATTTAGACAATTTGTAATTGTAGCAGTTGCATTTCCATTTTCCTTTGTAGGTGGTTTTTAATTTCTAATTTGTAATAGTTTCACCGTAGTGAAAGGAAAGGGGAAGGAAATAAATTATAAACCTTCTGGTTTAGAGAAAGTCTTTGGGATTAATTTTAATTTCCAAAGTGTTTTGATTTTCTGTAATAGAAACCAAAGTTTAGCCTTGGCTAAAGAGTATTTTTGATTTGTTCAAAAATGGAAACTAAGATGGATTTGGTTTCAAACTGTTATCCCAGGTAGGCAACCCAAGAGGAGGGGTGAATTGGGTTATTAAAAATTTTACAATATTAAAATTAACACAATATTCAGAAAATAAAAAATAATAATAATTATCAATATAAAAGTAAGAAAAATAGGGAGAGAAAATCAAACACTGAGATTTATAGTGGTTCGGCACGCCAGGCCTACGTCCACTCCCCAAGGAACCTCCTTGAGAATTTCTTTACTATCAATTGAATAAATATACCACCAAGCTTGTGCATTTGGCACAAGACATACTCTTATCTATTGAGTCTCA